CACTTTGAAGCAGCAGCATTTCTCCTTTAATCTCTTATGACATCTGCATTTTGGAACGTGCACAATACCCAGATTGCTGACTGCAGTGTAAGTGTGGAGAACATCTGGTCAAGCAGCAATCTCTTCTCTTTTTATGAAAAAGTCCTGCAAGCCAGATATTTTCCTTCATTTCCTCCTCCCTCTAATCCCCCTGTTCTCTTTAAATTCTATAAGATTTTTATTGCCAGTTCACTATATAATGTCTAACTAGTACATAAAAGATATGAGCATATCTCTGGGTAAGAGCTTTGTAAAATGAAACTATCAGCTATCTACCCTTCCTCTATTTATGTTTAACAAGATGTCTTAGAAAAGGGAAGTGTTTGGTAACTGTTTCTGTAATACCATAAATACATATTCTGTCATTATGTATGTCTCTGTAGCAAAGAAATGTCTCAATTCAGTTGACTTCCCATCAAAGCATTTGCTATTTCTCCTTTGGTTTCCCAGTTTTATCTGTCTTCAAATTCAGTTTGTTCCATCACACTCAATTCAGGTTGCCATATTCAGACAAGCAGCGTAGTACCCTGCAGGCTACCCTGGTAGCATTTGTGAGGAAACCATTAGAATTTGTTCTTTGTAAGCCTGCACACCTGGCATAAGAGTCTAAAGAGCTGGAAAACATCTGAAATGTTCATGTCCAGCCCCAAACCAGAAGGAGGTCTGCAGGAAATTTTCATTAAACTATGTTTTTATAGACAGTTGACAAATTATGCTGAGATTTTACTCCTTGCCTTTGAGAAAGCAGTGATTTGCGAAGTGCCTTTTCAACTAAGCATTATATCAACTGACTTCATTGTAAATCTCACTATACTTCTCTGAAGAACAGGAACATATTTAGGGAATTCTACCATCTCTTTACTTCAGAAGTTTATTGTACATAAAATTTCAAGGTTGGCAAAAAGAAGAGCAGAGATATAAAGATTAAGAGATGCTTTGTAAATGAGGATTTAGCCCTCAACCCGAGATGAGCCATGTATCTCTAGATTTCTCTGAAGGCTTTTTCATTTGGTTGGTTTTGGTTTGTTTTTGTTTTTCTTTGGGTTTTTTTTTAATTTTTTTTTATTTGTTGTTGTTATGATTTTTGTTTTCTTGGTTGGTTTAGTTTTTTGTTTTGCTTTTTGCTTTTTTGGTTTGTTTTTTGTTTGTTTTTCTGAAAAAGGAAAAGGGTTGTAAAGTAACAAAAGTTTTAAAATGGCATTATAAGGGAAGTTCACATTCTTGACAGCTACATTTTGGGTGCTATAACCACACGTACTACAAGGAATTACACCGAAGGGTTGGGGTTGCTCCATAAAGTGACCATGAAGCTGAAAGTAGAGCTACTTCAACCACAATTCTATTTTCCATAATTTGTCCCTGTAACAAACACACCACAAAAACATACAAAAATTTGTATGTATATTGAATTCAGCTAAGGCACTAGAGAAGAGAGCTGAATATGAAGAAGGTGCGAGGATGAAGTGGAGCGGGAAATAAAATACGTTCTTTTTGTGCTTTCATAATATTGGAGGACATGGGATTTGTTGAAGCAGTGCCTCTCAGTTGTTTCTCTTCTGCTTTCTATTGTTTAGAATTGACTGTAAGATTCAGTACATTACTCAGTCTCTCCGTCTTCTCCCAGTAAAACAGAATAAACAGGAAAAAAATGAAAAGCCTCTAGAATAAACAGTACATGTAAATGTGAATATTCAGATTTGGTACAGCTTTATAAACACTGCTACTTTGCATATTTAGAGCTTGGTCTTGTTCAAGTAAAACAGTTCCATCAATAATATCAAAGTTTGGGATGTAAGTGTAATTCAGCTGTTAGCTATAGGTGCATATTGGGGTTTTTAGCTATAGGTGTACATTGCAGTTTTTAGTTTTATCTTTTTTCTTTATAAATTTCTAATCAGTCTTTCCAGATACATTGGTATCCATCCTGTGATTTCCAAGTACAGCTCTGAACCAAATTCTGTCATTCATGTAACTGTATTCTCATGCAGTGCCCATTGGTTAAGACAGTGCAAACCGCTATGTTTTTAGCAGAAGCTGTTAGACTGACTTGACCTCTGACATATCACTGGCTTTCTCCTTGCAAAGGTAATCCAGCTACATCTTTGTTGGTGTTAATTTTTCATTTGCAGTTCTTTTGGTCAAAGCACCTTGATGCTGCATTAATCTTGATTAATGCTATTCAAAAATATATACTAAGTTCAACAATTGTGCATTTTAAAAAGGGCATTTTCTTCTATTTTGTGACATTGAAGATATTTCCTTGGATTAGCAGGACCTCAAAATGGTGCACCACAGCTTGTGTAACATCATAAAAGAAATAAGAGAAAGGAGAAAAAGTCTTTCTGATTGTGAGGATAAAAATTCAGCTTGATGAAAATGCTCTTGCCACAGTCTGAAATACAACTTACACTGATATTAGTGTGTGAGAGGTGTACAGCTCTGGTGAAAGAAAAGCTTGTTCTCTTTCATTCCTCCCATCCCCTTTGACCCATTTTACTTATGTTCCCTCAGCATTTCCTATGCATTTTTGTTTCAGTTTTGAAAGCAACATGCCAGGAAAGCTCACCCCAACTGAAAAGATACCTGTACACATACAGTGTGAATGAAGAAGGCCTCCTCTTCCTGCTAGACCTAATCTGATACATGCTGTCAAGGAGTTTTGGACTTCATCACTTACAAACAGTTACTAAAACCAAAATTTATAAAAACGTAACAGCAAGTTTTCCTGCAATAGTCTGGAGAAAATCCAAACCAAACCAAACCAATCCAATCCAAACCAAAAAACCAATCTGAAACAAAACCTAAAAGAAACCCACAAACAAAAAAACAAACAAACAAACAAAAAACCAAAAAAACCCCAAAAAAAAAAAAAAAAAAAAAAAAACAAACAAAAAACCCAAAAAAACCAAAAAAAAAAAAAAAACCCAAAAAAAAAAAAACAAACAAACAAACAAAAAACCAAAAAAACCCCAAAAAAAAAAAAAAAAAAAAAAAAACAAACAAAAAACCCAAAAAAACCAAAAAAAAAAAAAAAGCCCAGAAAATCCACCGTGAAACCAAACATGCAGGATATTGGGCTTGATAAATTCCCCCTTTGCAGATGGGCTTGTGCAGACAGGGAATCTCTAATTCAATCCTGGACAACCTGCGACCTCTTTTGGTCAATAAACAAAATTATTACAAGGACAAAAGAATACTGAAAAGCCTTGGTAGTCACCTATTGAGGAGTTAAGCAAGACTGATCTCTCTTCTAAAGCACCTTTAATTTCCCAAGGAAAAGTGTCTACTCTTACACCATATTATTCACAAATAAAACCAGATATTTTTTATATCTGCTGAGTACAATGTTCCTTTTAAGATATTAAATTTGCAAGGTATAAGTACTAAATTATGAATAGAGAAAACTGAAAAGGTGATTCTAATAATCTAAAAACCATGTCTTATAAAAAGTGCAGCTTTCAAGATTAACAGTATTGTGGCCAGTACCTTGAGCAATAACATATATACTTCTCTCTTCCACTTGAATTTTGATACATTTGAACAGCTGATGTGTTACTGAAAGATGAGCTTCAGGGTTACTGAAGAAGGGGTTGAAAGTAGAACAGTAGTCTGGCTCATAATTCCCACGGCAGAACATATTTGTATAAGCCAGTATCTGTGAGCATTGCTGTTTTTATTTTTCATGAGGCAAGCTTCTGTGACTGAAACACCATATATTTGTCTATATATACACCTCACCATCCTCTTCCTCATGAGAGTGCAGTAGAGCTTCAGAAAGAATGGTCACAAAATTTGGCACTGCCAATTCAAATTTTCTCAATCAAAGTTAAGCCAGGTTAACAGGGGGAGCAAAATAGGCCTAGAGAAATGGAAAGAGAATTTGCAGTGGCCTGAAGACAAATACATGCATTGTGCAAAAATCATGTAGAATTTCGAAGATGGGAGTTTGGGGGGATGGACTGTTTGTCTTTTTTATCTTAGATTTGTGAGGACATTGCAACGGAAACCATTTTCTTATATATGGAAAGAAAAGTTTCAAGAGTACAGAGAACACTTTTAAAAAAAAGTTAAGGAAGGTACATCCAGGAAGATGGGGCAAGATATGGACTGAGTCCTGGGCCAGAGAGCAACATCTCAAACGTGGCTGGGATGCCTGAGTGTGTGGTCATGCATATACATTTTCCCCCAGTTTTCCTTGGAAACGCAGCTGTCATGTGAGCTATAAGCCGATCTCAAGATATGCCCCGAACCTGCGAGCGGGCGGGCGCGAGCACATGGGCACCTTTGCCAGGGCCGGGGCTCTTAGCCTCAAAGTGGACAGGCTTGTAGCTAGGAGTCCAAAAAAGGGCACTGTCTTGGTGCTAAGGAAACACACACGGTCATGGGGAAGAGCACACGCACAGAGAGATCACTTTTTCTTGAAACTAGAGACACACGACGTGGCCCTCTCGCCAGACCGCTACCCCTCACAGCTGATTTCTAAGAAGTGCCCATAAACCCCCGGCAGCTCGTTTACTCCCCCCGCACTGCACCGCCCTCACAGCCCTGCGTGACCGAGTCTTGGATCTGCCGAGGGCCGGCTCTTCCTGCCGCCGCGCGCGTTATTCATGGCGCGGGGCGGGCCGACGACCGCGGCACTATATAGGGCGTACGGACGGCACGGGGGACAGCTGGGTGCGGAGTGGCGGGGAGTAGGGCAGGGCAGGGCGGCAGGCAGGCAGGCAGGCAGGCAGGCAGGCAGGCAGGCAGGCAGGCAGGCAGGCAGGCAGGCAGGCAGCACGGGGAATAAAACGAAGGGAACCTCGCGTTTTTCTTTCCCCCCATCTCTATTTTTCCCTTCTCGGTACTATCTCTTTTTCTGAAATGTTTTTGGACTAAATTTTCTTCTGACAGTCGGCCTTGGCTTTTTTGGGGTTTTTTTTTGTTTGTTTTTTTGGTTTTTTTTTACTTTAACTTTTGCAGAGTGTTTTTTTTCTTCTTTTTTTTTTTTTTTTTTTTTTTTGAGTGTTGTGTGCGGCAAAAAAGGAAAAAAGTTACTGTCGAGCCAAGTAGTTCAGGCGCTCTGCAGAGAGGAGTGGGGAGAAACGAAGGAAAAAAGTTGCTTTTGTTGCTAACGAGCTTTTGCTGCCTTGATGTGACTACGGGCAAGCGACTGCAGAGAGGGCCGGCGTGCGAGTGCCGGCAGCGCGGCTTCCCGCCTCCTCACGCCAGCAGGCTTGCGAGCGGTCGGCGGTTCCGCTCCCCGCGGCCCCCTCGGAGGCGGCTGGAGCCGCGCCGCTCCGCTCCCTTTGCCCGCAGCAGCGTGTCAGGGGTTCTGCCGTCCCGGGCCCGCACGGGATGCGCGGGGGCGGCTCCCGGCGGCCTCCTCCGCCGGTTGCCATGGTGCCACGGCCGGGCGTGCTATGGGCAGTGGCTGCGACGGCACTGGCGCTGCTGGTCCGGCGGGCGGCGGCGGCGCTGGCGGGGCCGGTGGTCCGCTGTGAGCCTTGTGACGAGCGGGCGCTGCAGCAGTGCAAGCCCCTGCAGCCCGACTGTGCCGAACGGGTGCGGGAGCCGGGCTGCGGCTGCTGCCTCACCTGCGCCCTGCGCCTGGGGCAACCCTGCGGCATCTACACGGAGCGCTGCGGCGCAGGGCTCAGCTGCCAGCCGCGGCGGGAAGAGGCGCGGCCGCTGCAGGCGCTGCTCGAGGGCCGCGGGCTCTGCACCAACGCTACGGCGGGCAGCAAGCTGCGGGCCTTCCTGCTGCCGGGACCGCACGCTGCAGGTAAGGGGCTGCGGCCGGGGTGGGGAAGCGAAGGGGTGGCTTTCCTGCGCGCCGCTCTTCCTCTTAGCTGCTTTCTTGCTGGGTTTTTTCTTTTGTTTGTGCGTTTTTGTTTGGTTTTGGTTTTGTTTTTTGTTTTGTGTGTGTTGCTTTCTTTTGTTTTAAGTTACAAAGGTAGCAGCATGAGCGGGGAGGCGTGGGCGAGCTCGCGGCAGAGCTCTGTCTCCGGAAACGGTCCTCGCTCGCTGCCCTCCTGCTGCCGGCCCGTGGGCGGGGGGCTCTGCTGCTAGCCACGTAGCCGAGCTTGGGATCGTTTTGAAGGAGGCGTGCTTTGGCCGAAGGAAAGGACAATTTACCTCTTCTGCCTTATTTATTTATGTACCGATTTTCTTCAACACCGATGCTGAGAAGTAGCTCCTCGCAAGAGAGACAGAGCTGGTTTTTTTTTGTTGTTGTTTCTTTGTTTTGTTTTGTTTTTTTAATTAAAAAAAAAAAAAAAAGAGAGAGAGTGGGGGAGGGATTGTATGTGGCTTCTGCGGTGCATGGGACTGGCAGGCTACAGAGCCTGGATGGAGAGAGAGAGAGGGTGTAATCCTCGCAGTTTGTCCCGGTGTACCTGGAAACAGAGTGAGCAAAAAACTCAAGAGTGGGGTTTAACTGCTGCACTGCAGCATGGGTAAGTCAGGGAAGTTTAAGCACAGAGGGGAAAAGACAGAAAAACAAAAGACAAATTTAAATATCCATTTGGCCTGGAAAAGTGGTTTTTCACAACAAACTGTTTGAACCACAGTGTTTAAGAGCACGTTGGGTTTTTTTTTGTCTGTATTGCAAATAAGTCCTTCTTCAAACTAAGATTTCCTGTACCTCTTCCATGTCTTGTGAGATGTTCACAGGACAGGTTTTGTTTGAAAAGGAAGGGATGGTGGAAAAAAGTTCTGTTAGCATGCACATTTTAAAACATAAGACAGGGAAACTTGGGATTCAGATTGAGAGAGCACAGTCCCTCTGTGCAAGCATTTAATTAAACTCTTTGCTAACCAACAGCGAATATGTTAACATTTATTTAATACAAAAGTGTGTCAAAAGGCTTTCCATTGTTTGCATTAAAAAAAAAAAAAAAAAACAGAAGATTTTCTGCCAGGTTGTAGGGACTCTGACTAGCCATTCCTTAGCTGAGAAAGTGGCACCAATTAACTGCCTGTTAGAATAATAGGACATGCCTTATTATAAATATTTATGTGCTGCTTCCAAGCTGTGACAATTTGAATGAGAGTTTGGAGGTATTAACTGAAATTTTTAATCTTCTTGGAGCATCTAGTAGCTTCCTTCATCATATGAGCTTGGCTCATTCTGTTCATCCTTGGAGTAACAGTGGAAACAAGAAGTGTCTCCTCGGTACTTAGGAGTTGGTGGCATTTAATCTAGGGGTAGTGCTTTCAACAGTGACTTTTAGAGAAAGACAGAGTTGTACTTAGCTGAAAATCTTTCAATTTTCAGCTGAATTCTTATTTCTGTGTTCTTGGCTGAGGGAGAACTCAAATTTTGAAATCAGTAGGAACTGTTTATTCCTTAAAAACTGCATAGTAGGACCCTTAGAGTTCACTTTCAAGGACTGAAGCTTGCAAACCTGGTGTGCAAGAAGGAAGAAGTACCCAGAACCTATATGACATGTGGTGCCCACTTCCTCATGAGGACCACTCCACTCCCTGCTTTCAAGCCAGCACTCCCTGGTATACCTCTCTGAACAGGATCACATAATTTCCTTTACTTGCAGCTAGGTCGTGCATCATGTGCTATTCTGCTGGTCCTTCCTAGTTCATGGAAATTGCTAGAAGTTTGTGTAGGGTAGAGTATATTACAGTGGCATTATAACAGAAACTGTAGTAGGCCACTGACTTTCCAGTTTTGGTTTGTTTTTTTTTTTTGGACACAAAAGTGTTAAATAGTAGTGTGCATTTGCAACCCTTTTAATCTCTTAAAAATAAAAAGAGAATGGGTAACTCTCATGGCAGTTCTGTTCCTCTTATGAGGATGTAAAGCTAGCATGGCACCATGTTTCGTGAAACTGAGTTAATCAAATATGCTTTACAGTTTAAAATGTGGCAATATGACCATTTTAATCTGAAGTGTAAGAAGTACCATTGAGCTATGGTGGCCTTTCTGAACTGAAATGACCAGACATGGTCATGGATGTTAACAGTGCATGTTAAGGATATTTTCTACTTATTTTTTGGTTGAAGAAAAAAATTAATGAATTGGACTGATTGCAGAAGACCTAGATTCAGGTTTATAACATTTTAGTGGCTCATTTCTTGCATATTTCATTGAGAATGTGGGGCGAAAATACTACTGTTTCAGAATAGGACATGAAACCACCAAAATTATGTTCAAATACCACTGAGAGTCTGAGTTAAACCCACAAAACCCAGGAAATTTGGACTTAGGACTTAAACTTCCTTAATCCATTTGCACTGTGATTTGGATTTTCCTGGTCAATTATGTCCATTGCCAGCAGTGGCTGTGCTAAAACCACTAGTACCAAAATATTAACTCAGAACCCTCTTCCTCTTATGTTCCTTCTCCCATTCCTGTGTATTGGCAGTGCCACTGTACTCCCTGTGTAGAAATATTTAGCATTAACAGCCTATATGAACATGGACTTTTAGTACTGAATCTCTCAGCTTTTGTGAGGTTTTTTTTAGTGAGTCATCAAGTATAATTTTAGTATAATTTATAATATTATTGGATGTTATTATTGTTCATCCCCAATAGGATTTCCTTAAAAAAAAAAAAAAAGGTGGTCAGCAGCTATGACAGCTAGCAACTAGTGGGGTGCAGCTATTACTTAGCTGTTAGGAATACCTTAACTGGAAAAATTCTCTGGAGGAAATGCAAGTAGTTACAGTTGCACTGCAGGAGTCTCCTAACGGAGAGAAATGCAGCATAAGCAAATACCTTAGAGGGTACAGGAACACTGTATGGAGTACGTTAAAAAAACGTGCTTCTCCGTTTTTTGGATGGTATTTTAAAGAAAAAATATTTTTGAAGCTCAAGATGAAAACAGTGTTTGGCCTTGGAACCACTACAGACTGAATAGCGGTTTTTGTCCATTACCTTTAAGATGTGTTTTGTACACCAGGATTTTTTTAAAGTTTTTTTTTAATAGCAGAGAAATGAAAATGTGCTGTTCTTTTTCTACTCTGTTCTGTGTGTTGAATAAAGTAAGGAAAAAAAAAGGCTAAATAGAACCAGGAAACTCAGAGGAATAGAGTTGATAGTATTAACGTCTTAAAAAAATAAATAAAAATAAGGCCCTGGCACAGGCAGAGCCACACTGCCGCCCGTAATTGCCCGAAGCCAGCAGTAGCGGAGGGGAGGGATCCGCGCCCTGCGCCGCTGCGGTGCAGGCCTGCCCCCTGCCGCCGGCGGGCGGCACTGCAGCGGGCAGTCAGGGGCCAGTGGCCAGAGCGGCCGTGGTGGCTGGGACAGTGGCCGTGGCTAGGTTCCTGGTCTTGGGAACAGCCTGCACAGGCGGTGCAGCTGCGCACTTTGCGAGGCCGCGCTGAGCATGGGAATGCTTCAGCTACAAAACGCGTCGCGTGGCAACACAGGTGCTGACACATGCGGAATGCTACATAGTTTTTTTGGGTGTTTTTTTTGTTTGTTTGGTTTGGTTTGGTTTTTTTGTTTGTTTGGTTGTTTTTTTTTTTTTGTACATTGCTATTTTGTAAAAAGGAAAATTAAACACATAGCCTAATCTAATGGCTTGTTGATTGAGGAGAGACTTCATTGTGCTCTACAGCTTCCTTACATGAGGAAGCAGAAGGGCAAGCACTAATCTCTTCTTGCTTGGGACCACTGATAGGATCTGAGGGAGGGGCATGAAGCTGTGTCAGGGGAGGTAAAGGTTCTTTCATCAAGAAAAGGTTCTTCACTCAGAGGGTGGGTGGGCTCTGCAGGAAAGTGGTCTCACCAGCAAGACTGACAGCATTCAAGAAACATTTGGACAATACTGTCAGGCACATAGTTTGATTCTTGGTGCTGTCCTTTGCAGGGCTAGGAGTTGGACTTGAGGAGCCTTGTGGGTTTCTTCCAGCTCAGGATATTCTGTGGTTCTGTATTTCTATGCCCTTGCAGATACAGCTGGCAGCCAAGTAACGTTGTTTCTTCTGCATTTGTTCTTTTTGAAGGAAATTTCAGTGATTCAGAAGAAGACAAGAGTACCAGCAGCATAGAAAATCAGGCCATTCCAAACTCTCACAGGGTGCCAGATTCCAAGTCACATCCACCACACATCAAAATAGGTATCATCAGAAAAGTGCAAGCCAAAGATACACAACGCTATAAAGTCGAATATGATTCGCAGAGTACAGATACATTGAATTTCTCTTCTGAATCCAAACAAGAGACTGAATATGTAAGTATTTTTTGTAAATAGGAGGGCATTTGCCAGCCTGTGAGTGTGTGCCTGTCTATATATACACATGCATGTTGTGCATATGAAAAGATAAATAATTACACTAAATAGCTAAAGAATGGTAATTGTTGCAGCCTTTAGGACATTCTGGCATTTTAATTGGTAAATCTATTGACTCTGCAAATGCATACACAATCAGCAGACCAAAAAGATTGTGCTCAGGAAGCACATAGGACTAATGTAATAATGTTTACATCAGTACAAGCATGACTTCCACTAAAACTTCTTAGAGGCCTAAAGTTCTTGTTCCTCCCTGCAATTGTCACACATTTGTGTGAGTGGACATGGAGTGTCATCATTCAACTTGGTTGCAAACAGTGTAATTGAATTGCAATAATGGAAAAAAGATGTTTCACGTTGAGTGTAGTGGCTGTGTTCATACACTGCCTGGTGCAAATCAAGGGAGATAAACTTAGGCTGAGGTGAGGATTAGGGTCTTGACTAGCCAGTCACTATATGACATGCTGAGCATCACCTCTACTTGCAGTTGCTGTAGGTGTTACTGCCTAAATGCAAAGTCTTGTGGTCACATAAGCTGCCATTGCTTCCTACTAACTGTGCCAAGTGAATTTGTGGGGCAGTCAGAGTGTGGTTAATCTGAGGGCAAGAATAATTATCTTCCTGGAGATTCAGCTGATAATCCGTGCCTTAGGCCAGATGGCTTGAAAAATGCATCTGGATATACTTTGGCATTTTATCAAAACATGCATGGTAAAAACAGATGTGGCTTCTCATCCTCAAAAGAAGGTTTTGAAACTTGTATGAGGTGAAAATCTCTGCCTGAAGACAGTGTGGCTTCCAAGAGCAGTTTCATTTTTAGTTTGTCACTGATGTCCAGCCATCTAGTTATATTACTTCAGTATCTGCCTTCCAGTGTGTCGTCCTCCCAAAAATGTGAAGTATAAGTGCCGTCACTGAAAGAAAGAAGGTTGGTCACTTGAGAAAATAGATTCTTAACTAGGATGAGTAGTGATAGTTGGGTCCATGAGCAAAGGTATATGTCCTGGTTCAGGGCAGATTTGGAAGATAACCCCCAAAGGGGCTCCTCTACAAAAGCAGATTCAATTGGCACCTCCCCCCAACTGGTTCGGGAGAAAATATCTCCTGGGAGAAAAGTGGAAAGAAACTTGTTTATTAAACAATAGAACCCAAACAATATTAAACAATAAAACCTCTTGCTGCTCCAAAAAAGAGATGACAAACTCAGAACAGTCCCCTCCCCAGGTTGCAGCTCGGCTCACTCAGTCTCTTATCAGTCCCTCTGGTGCTGGAAATGCCACGGCCCAGGCCCCGCCGCCTGGGCCACAGGTGGAGCTGCCGGTGCTCTTCTGGGTGTTCAGTCCAGAGCACGTTTGAACAGGTCCAAGAAAAAGAAAAACCACAGTCCAGGGAACTTCTTTGCCTCAGCTAGCTGAAACTAACTAAAAGCAAAGGAGCGCTCTGACCTGCTGTCTGTCCATCCACAGATAACACAGTCTAGGAGCAGGAATGTGGAGAAGTGAGTGCAGTCTGAAAACAAACTGCACACTTCTTCCCCTCTTCACTCTCTGGAAGAGAGTCTTAAAGGTGTAAAACTTATTATTCAGTATAAAGAGAACAAGATGATAAAATCATCATATAGTCAACCCAGGACAGTATACCAGTTTACCAAGGCTGGTGGTGTCTTTAAGAACTTGAAATAAGTCCGTCAGGTACAGGTGCCTTTGTCAGCAAATGCTCTTCTAGCTGTGTCTGCATGTTAGCTTTTGATACTGGTCTGGCTGACTTTGGAAGCTTGCTTCAAAATAAAAATTTTAAAAACCTGTTGATCTTTTTGTAGACCTAATTTGGGATCAAATCTTTAAATATCTGTCACTTGCAGTCAGTATGTCTGAGCAGTAAGAGAAGCCATTTAAAGCCCATGCTTAGAACTTGTGAGACCGGTTCAGAAAAAAAACATGAAGGCAACAAGGAAGGTCTTTACTGGCCAAAAAGCTCCATTTTAATCTCCAGTAGTACTGTGGAGATTGTATGCTTTCAGACACTCACATTAAAAGGTCCTTTACATGAACAAACTATTAATACTGCCACTTGAAAATATGAATGTCATTACTTCACTAATTAAAAACAGCACCAAATGAGTCTTTGTGTCAATGTAGCAACTTAAATATTGTTAAATCATGAAACCACGCAAAGAAATTTTTTTCATGTCTCTGCTGAAGAAGTTGGCAGGTCGTGCAAGTCAGTGATACACTCAGATAGGAGTGTAGCTAAGCACAGTTTGTAGGCTGTGACTCTTGAATCCTGATCCCACTGCTGACAGTGACTGCCTTCTTGGCCTCTGGCAAAATGTGAAGCTCTCTGCTCTTGATTTTCTGACTTCAAAGTGGGGCTCATGATGCTTTACTCTCCCTACCCTGAAGGGCTGCTGTGAGATAAAATTAGTTGGTGTTTGAGACATGCTCTTAGAAATGCTTCTGGAAGCTCTTTTTGGCTCATTGTCCTAGAGCTAATCCTCCTTACCTTGTTGTCAGCCTTTTTCAGATGAAGAAAGAGAGGGGAAAAAGTGATGTACTTATCTAATGAGACTGCTGCATGCAACTGGTCCTCTGTATGACAGCATCTATTTGATTCAGTTGAAATTGGGAATTGTTGTCCAAGTTGAGGTATTTTATATATACATTATGCCAAACCACTTATTTTCAATTGAATCAATTTAATTTAAGCTTTCAAATCTGGTAGAATCACAAAAAATCAAATGTCATTGGGGAAGGCCTATCCTGTAACGTATTTCCAGTGGCCTACTTTCTTCTTTTCTCACGTGGTGCAAGGCCAGCTTTTCCAAACTTATGTTCTATGTGATTGATTTACATACCGGTTAAGCCTTCCCAAAGGTATTTGTGACTGTGATTTCAACTAGAAATGCCAGTATGTGCCTCAGCATAGCATAAGGCCTTCAATCTTTAGAAATTAGTTTATCTTGAATAGAGCAGAAAGTCAGAATTTTTTTTGTGAATGATCTGCTTTTGACGTATTCAGCCATCTCTTTGTTTTAATGGATTTTTTTGGATTTGTGCTTTCTTTGTGCTTTCTTTTGCCCTTTAAAGATTTATTAACTCTTGAGATGGAATTTAGGAGTGAAGTTTCATCTGTGTTTTCTAAAACATGCTTGTTAACAGGGTCCATGTCGTAGAGAAATGGAAGACACTTTAAACCACCTAAAGATCCTGAATGTCTTGAGTCCCAGGGGCTTTCATATCCCAAATTGTGACAAGAAGGGATTCTACAAGAAAAAGCAAGTAAGTACAGAGTTTTTACCATCTTAATTACTGCATTTCACCTTTTCTGCATCTTTGTTGAAGGATCTTGCCAGCAAGGTGCATTATATATAATTTTGCAGAGGAACTAGGTAATTTCCAGTTTTAGGACTTGATCCGATAGTGCTGAACCTTGTAAAGTAGGGATAGTATTTTTCTTATTTGTTGATCATGACAACAGATTCATTTGAGAAACTGCATACCTAATCACACATGGGTTGACTGGTGTCCTAGATACTAATGCCCTTTGGTTTAAAAAAAGCACTGCCTCTACAATAACCCACAGAGCTAATGTTGCAGTCACCATATGACTGCAATAGATCAATGCTTTGAATTGTAAATAGCTGCTTGAGAGTTCCTAGAAGACCTACACTGGATCATATTACATAAAGCAACTTGAGAAAGGTATGTATCTGTCCTTTATGTGCTACACAGATTGCTTGCAAAATCCAAGTCATGTTATCGTGAAAATGATACTTCTAGTAGTTACTCTGCAGCAAGGATGGCTTCTCAGCCCTTTCTGGTTCTGGGGTTGTGACCTTTCTTGACAAATGCCAACCAAAACTGTGGGTTTTTATGCTTTAGTTGTGTTGGATTGAGCTACAGCAGCATTCTCCATTCAGTGCTGCCATTGAAGGTCGTTAAGAACTTGGGAAAGTGCAAGATGTGTCAGGTTTTTTGTTTAGTGTGCACATCCTATTTAATTTCAGTGTTTAGTTAGTGACCTGGATCGAAATATATATTTCTTGGTATAATTCCAAAATTTCCATAATTCAAAGGTTTCTTTAAGACTTTTCTCAAGGACAGATTTTTTTTGTGGACCATCATGTCTTTCCCTTCAGGTTTACACAAATCTCTCTATCTCTGGTAACCAAAGGAGTGGTTGACTCTCTGTTGCTAGCTAATGCAGCTCATTGGTTGGAAGTGAGAGATCAACCTCTGATTAGGCAACCTTATTTTGGGAATGATATCTCCATTTTTTGGCTTTCAGCTTTCTTAGAAACAGTTTTTCCCTTTCTAGTATTCCATGGAGCTCTGCAATAAGCTGTCAGTGTCAGGTGGGGCATTTATACACAGGGATGAGATTTCCAGCCTTCCTTTTTGCCATCAGTCCAGCATTGACAGTGCTGTTTGACCTTTCGTACATGCTGCTGAGCTTTTTTATGCTTCCCTGCTTTTCCTGAGCAGGTGCTGGGAACTCCCAAGCAGGGGAAGTTTCTTTTTTTTTGCCTGGAGCTTTGAAAAGCCTGCATCAGCTGTGTTGTGCTATGTGTAAACTAGCAGAGAGCAATGCTCACATCTCAAATTGCTTGTTTTCAGAAAATGCATCGGGCTTCTATGCAGAGTCAGACTAGGACTGTGTTTTGTGCCTGTGTCATAAAAGTATTTTCTTAGCTGCTTTAGAACAGCAAATGATTTGACTGTATTCAAGGCACTCAAGTGTGCCATAGCCCTTTTCGTTCTCTATATATTATAGAAGACTGAAAACTGGTATTTACTTTGTTCAGTAGATCTTCCTTTCATCTTTCTTCAGACTCTAAGGTTTTTGCTTTGTCTGGAAAAATGTGGTGGTTTGCAAGTAATCTCTGGCATTGTGTATAGTAAATCAGATCCTTAGTAAGCATGAATTGAAGTAGCTTACTTGAAAGGAGGGCTGTACTTTAAAGTACAGGCATAGTTCTATCACCAAGGGAAAAAAAAAAGGAAATACAAAGAAAAAAAATAGGAAAGACAGATAAAAATCTTAGCTAGTATTTGTTCCTAGAAGCTGATTCGAGAATAATGTGTTTTTACAAAGCACTTGATAGGCACTTTTGTCCTCTGTGTATTGTCTGCGCTGCCTGGAGACTTTTAAAATTTCTTTAGGAAAGGCTCCTGCACTATGTGCATACATAGGATGAAGGGACACTTTCATGCCTTGCCAGCCTTGTCAAGCACTGTGCCAATTTACATAGGTCCAGTAGTTTCAATGGTAGTTTGAGATGACTCAGGGTCTTGCAGGAGATGCCCACAAAGGGAGTTCACATGAGTAAACATTCTACACGATATTCACTTGGGTTGCTGATTCTGTAAATGAACCTTGGTCAATTCTGGGAACAAGCCCTCAGAGATGGGACTCTACAGAGGCAGCCTGCTTCTCTCACCAACAAAAGACAAACCAAAAATAATAGTTGCCCTCATAGAATTAACTCCTAGGAAAAAACCGTCAGTTGAGAAGTGTGTGAGTCCTGTCCAGATCAAATTAACTGGTCCTCAAGGAGTTGTGACAGTTGTGTTTGGGGTTTTTTTTGAAGCATCAAAATGTAGGTCTGATATTTTAGATCCTGTAAGCAGGTATCCAATCTCATTAACAAAATTCTATGTTGTTTTATTACTTCCCTTCATGCCATTATTAGCCATGTTCAATCTGTAATTAAATTCTATTCTATTGTCATGAAATTCAGAATAGTAAGGTTAGTAAGTAGACAGTAAATCCATTAAAAAATGACTGCAAGCTAGGCATTTTGAATTCTAGAAACAGTTGCCAAAACCAATGTCTAGGATGAGAATGTAGTAGGTTTGGGATCATAGGAACCTGATAAATTATGATCATGCTGGCACCATTAAAACTCATTCAGGAGGCACTCTCATATTCTGCCTTCCTGGTCATCTGGTCTTCCAGCCAAGCTGAAAGTACTTACTTTTCATGACATTTGTGGATATCTAGAAATTGACTTTTCAAGAACAACTGTAGCTATGATATTTTATGAAAAATCCTTTGCTAGGATTTTTCCCTCTTGGGAAGTTGAGGAGCCTCAGGAGAGAAATATAAACAATAGCTCTTTGTTGTTGTGGAATGCAATAGGTGCATCTCTGATTGGTCTTTGTGGATTGTTTTCACTTGATGACCAATCACAGCCACCTGTGTCGAGGTTGTGAGCAGTCACAAGATTTTGTTATTCATTCTATTTTTGTTCTTTTTAGCCTTTTGATGAGTTTTTTTTCTTTATTCTTTTAGTATAGTTTTAATGTATTATTTTAATATAATATATAATATAATAAATTAACTTTCTGAAACATTCAGTCGAGATTCATGTCTCCACACATGGGGCACCAGACACAACAAACAACCATGAAGAATAACTTGCATCTGTGAAACACTTCTAAGAACATAAATTTATGTGTCAGGGTATAATACGAAAGATAGTTCATACCTTTTGTTTATATAGAAACTTTAAAATCAGACTTGTTAAAATTTATAATTCTTTTTCTTGATCACACATGTAAGGTTGTACTATTCAATTGTGCAATATAGGTATATTTATGCATAATTAGTTGATACAGGCACATTCCTACCCCAAGAATGGGAAAAAGGTTTTGATGAAAATAGAATTATTATATGGGGCAATTACTAGAATTGCCCCATATTTGTATACTGGAACCAGATACTCACCTAAATGTGAGCTGGCATCGTTCTACTGAAAACAGAACTGCACTTGCCAGGAGCCAAAATGGCCTGAGGTGTATGTCAGTGTTGTCTGCAGTCTGTTCCTGAAGACCATGGTTGTAGCTCCATGGAGCCCTCTGGACTGACCAGGAATTCAGTGGGATACCATATGCTTTACTGTGCCCCACAAATGCCTCTGCTGTATTTCTTTGTGAAAGGGAGAGGAGCAGGTGTCATGGAAGATGGCAGCTGGTGTTCTATCAGAAGTAATTAGTCTCCGCTGCTTGGGCAGTTTTCCAACTTTTTAAACTTATGAAGTCATACAGAATAGCTGGACAGAGCCTAAAAATATATGTGGAATACTAAATTCATAAGAACAAATATTTAGATATATGTGTTTTTCCATATGACCTGTTCACCACTTCTGTAGAGAGTGTTGGTGCTTTCAGGATAAATGCATCACTTTTTAATCAGAAGTGCTTTACTGTTGACAGCATGGCTGAGTGGGTAGAAAAAACCACTTGGAAAAGAGAAGTTGTTTTCTCATAGAGTGTTATTTCAGCTGTAGGATGAACTAAGGGTTTTGCTTTTCAAGTGGATTGTCTAGAGGAAGTGAAAAAATAGTAGTAGGGAAGGTGTTTCTGCAGATTAACTTCATGTAGTAATTACTTCTGAAAATTGTGCAACTTTTAATAGCAAAGCCTCCAACAACATGAGAACTTTAATTGATCATTTGTTTTGAGAGTGATGCAAGCCTACAAATCAGTGAGAGTTGTGTAATATACTTCATATAGTACTTCTAAAAGGGGAGTCTGTGTTACTATTATTAGCAGAAATGTAGTTTCATTGCCAGAGCACCAGCCTGGCAGCCGGAAGCCCTATGCCCTTTGGGCTCCATCTGTGTCTACTTTGTTGGGAAAACAACTCTAGAAGTGCAGGTTCAGTTTCCTTTTTGTAAAATTAAATTGTGCAAATGTTGCTATTAATTCCTCTGTTTTGAGCATGAAGAATTTAAGTTATTAAATGTTAATAATACTTAAGCTGGATTCCAGTCCATGACCATTCACCACCAAAATTGAAGAAAAATTTCCCTTGACATCAGTGGACATTGAGCAGTCATCCATGGAAATCCTGGAGAATACATGTAAATTCTAGTCAGGCTTTTGAGACAATAAATATAAGCTTGAGGACTTATGTTTAAAGATTTAATAACAGATAAGAACTGAAGTGCAGGTAACTATCGCGGCAGGTTCCAGCCGGGCTATGCCCGATGGGCTGCCGTGGCCAGGATAGCTCAGGTAGGCTCAGCACAGCATCCGAACTCCCAAGCATCTCCCAGCTGCGGGCAACCTAAGCAAGCTTTAGTGATTTCAGCTCTCAGTGATTATCAGCTCTTTGTGATTTCAGCTCTTTAGCTTACTGGTGCTGCAGCAGCAGACGCAGGGAGAGAGAGGAGAAAAAGCTGTATAAGGTTCCGCAGGATTCTTTATTGGTGTCCCCCACAAAGGTTCTCAGTGACAGCTCTTCTGCCAAACCAGGCAGAATTAGGGGTTTATATACACTACAGGGTATGACCCCCGATAATAAGGGTCAAGGGAAAGTGACCTATAGGCTTACAGAGAGATAAGCAGGGTCTGAAGGTGGAAGAGAGGGGCTTCTAGGGCCCAGTCATCATGACTTGGCATTTCCTAGCTCAGGCTTCTGACCGCCAAGGAGCCATTGCAGGCCCTGGGCCTGCTACAGGTAACCATTTAGTTCAGTAAATTATTAATGTAGGTGTCCTCTCAGTAGGTTTGAACTTCTTTATCCTCTTCTAAAACAAAGCTGATATGTATGTTAAGCTGGACTTTGTCATCCTGCTGCTGTCCATTTTCATAGGGCTAATGCAGAAGGACTGCAGATCTGTAGAAAAGAAGACATTGCATTATTTCTGCACTGGGCTTTTTACTCAATAATATATCAGAAGGGTGGTTTAATTTGCAGTTATGCTGAACAACGTTACTTAATGTACATTAAAATAAAATAAACAAGATAGTGACTTGTTTGAAAAAATTTTCACTTAATGTGTTACCTGCTTCCATCTCTCTTTTGCAAGGTCTTAGCGAAGACTGTCTACCCTGCTCCATGCTGCCACAAATTAGTTGTCTCATAGGCCAATGTGCTGGTGCAGGCTGTCCCAAAGTGTTCTGTATTCCAGAACTCTCCAGTTCTGTCCAAGATAGCACCATCACCTGAGATACTAAACTAGACAAGGCAAGGACCAGTCACTATGGAGCAGCATGTGAAACCCAACACTTGCTGCATGTTTTCTTGTGTACCTGCACATGGAAAAGGCACTTATGTGAGCCACTGCCATAGCCTCCTGAGATATTGGGCCATGCCTATGAGCCTCAGGAGAACAAAAAGTAGAGGGATAGTGGTGAAGTTTACCAGGTTGTACCAGCCTGAACTTCTGAAAACTTCAATTACTCTGAATATGATCTCAGAGGCAACAATTGCTCTGCTTGAATAATAGACTTAACAGTGTTGAGGGACATAAGTATCACCAGTCCAGCCAATCTTCCTTCATACTGGCAATGCAACAGACAAAACCACAGGAAATTGGGTGTTCTTGTGTCACTGCCTCTATTATGAGTATGCCCTGAGTAAACAGCCACCTTTGTTTGCTTTTGAAGCAAATTCTGTATCACCAAATCTCAAAACAAGCTGACAGGAGGCTGTATCTTCACAGGGAGGCAGACCATTGCAAACCTAATGAGATTCTTGATGTATCTTACGAATGGGTAAAACCCTTGCAAGGTCTTAGAGGTTCATGGTAATGTAACTGTGTCCAGGGTCATATACTGAATGCAGCCTGCAGCATGTTATCTCCTTTAGTCTAGTTTTTGCCATTCTTAGTTCCTTGGGAGGAGCATTACTTACTTAGTATGTAGTAGACTTTATAATGCATATTTACTGCATTACTGCTTCTAAAGAGGTTCAGTGTTATTGCCTGTGATAGTTTCAGGTTGGTAGGCATTGCTGGCGAATTCCAGCAGTTAGCTTAAAGCTAACATGTTACAGACTAGTAGATACACAAAATACAAGTCCACCTAGCAGGTTTTGCAATAACTACACTGTAGAAGGATTGTGTATCTGTTAATAAGTGTAGCTACACTTTCGAATTTCTTCCAGTAAACAGATGCAAACCAAGTGTGTTTCTTGCTGCAATGGCTGTCTTTGCCAGACCTGTGCTTTAGAGTAGAACGTATCTGCTAAATTTTTTTTTCTAAAGATTCGTCCCAGTCACTAGCCCATACTGTTGTGTTGTATTGTATTCAAAGGGGTCAGCTGTGCTGCCAAATATGATAGCAATCCATAAGCCTATTTTCTGGTAGTTCTCAGTGTTCTCAGTTCTGTATTATAGAGTACTTAGACCCAGAGGGATTGATGGGGAGAGAAGGAAGTTTTTATTGAAATACTTTGTAGTAGTAACAAATATTCTGTTTGATTCTGTCAGATATGGTCAGGATATGGAAATGCATGTATCAAAGGAGCAGGAATCCCTGCTGTCTAATACTACAAGTTGAGAAAACAAAATTCATGCTAACTGGGTCTTTTATTATGTTTCAGTGTCGCCCATCCAAAGGCCGAAAAAGAGGTTATTGCTGGTGCGTGGATAAATATGGACAGCCACTTCCTGGGTATGATGGGAAGGGAAAAGGAGATGCCCACTGCTATAACTTGGAAAGCAAATGAGGGCTGGGTGCCAGCTCTTCTGGCATCTGTGCATGGCCACTGGACCTCACAGAGACCTTGGAGAGGCTGGACAAACACTGTGGGACTGCAGTGTGTGTGGAGTAACAAGCTCTGCCTCCTGCAGCAGGTGGGGAGTTGCAGCCTCTGTGGATGCTGCTGCAGTTTCACCCTGCCACCGACACACATTGAGCTTCCTATGGAATGTGTAGGGAGCTCTGAATTCCCGTGTAAACCTGCACTATTGATACCCAGACAGAAAAAAACAAAAGGCACTTCAGAATGGAATCAGGGAATCTCCACTGACTTTTTAAAGAATGGCCTGTGACCAATTTGATCCCAAAAGATACTGGCTTTTTTATTTTAAAGAATTTATAGACGTTAAGCTTGTAAAAGTATTAAAAATAAAAACAAAACGAAAAAACCCACAAGGATGTAAAGGTAAAGCTTTTTTTACAGGTCTGATGGGAAACTTGTCGTCACGGGTAAAACGTTTTTTATAAAAAACTCAAAGAACTTTTTAAAGAAATGTATTTCTAAGATAAAGACATGGCTATTTTTTCTGTAAAATATATTATGAATATTCTGTTAGTCTGTATTTAATATAATTGTTTTTTAATAAACTTTATTTAAATATAACGTGAATACCAAATATTACACAGTAATTCTAGTGTATACATCTGTATGCAAAAAGAAAGTAAGGTTATGGAATGATTTACAAATACATTTAAGTCTCTGTGCATACACATGACCTGTTCTAGGTAAGAGAAATAAATTTTTGGAGGAAAAGAACTGTTTCCAGAAGGGATTGAGTTTATAACTTGATATACCTACAAATGCCAAGATAATATTTTTTTTAAATTATTTTATTGATAATTCTAATGTACCCATCACTAAATTATGCCACTGGAAAGGATAACAGTTGCACTGAAGCTCTTGGTAAAGCTTTCTTCTGTCTGTATGTTGCTTCAGTTTGTGCAACAGGGCTTGCATTTCCTCCATTTACTGCTCACACTAATACAGAATATTCATGGACAAAAAATTGCCATTACAGTACTACTCTTTGTATTTGCTTATTTATTTTGAAAAGGTGTATCTATTCTGTGTTGTCTTGGTACATTCTACCAAAGCACTTACTCTGTATGAGGAACTCCTGTTGAAAACAATGTCAACAAGATGGGGGGATTGAGACCCATGTGTTTCATTTATGCAACACACAATTGTTGCTTGCTTTGACTATGGTAGAAATCATTCACCTGCATTTAAGGATAGAAAAACAACCATTGGGTTTAAATAGTTAAATTCACTTTCTGCCATGGTGTTATGTTTAATTGGAAGAGAAGTGATTTTGTTTTGTTGTTGTATGTGATGCTTTCACATAAGGAAGGCTTTGGCAACATTTTATTTTTTGAGGCTGATTGTTTAATGTACTTTGTGAAAAATTCAGTATGACAATGAAATCTGCATAAGGAAAGGTGGCCTATGAAATGTATCATCTCTCTGGAAAAGAATGCCGTATTTTGTAGATGTATTTATTTATATATTTTATATAAATATTTTTTATATTTATATAAGTATATATTCTTATATCTCTCACTATAAATGTTTGGTGTCACTGTAGAAAAAAGAAGCCATCAACACTGTAATTTCTTGTTGCATTGGGAACTCCACGAAGACTATTGACATTGGGTTTTCACCTGCTGGGGCTAGGCGTTGTGTTGATGAAGGAGAGGCTGTGGTACTGAGGAACCCATTCCTCTCCCACTGCATGAATTACAACCATCCTTGTCCCTGCCAGCAAAGGCAAATGTCTAGAAACTCTGACATGGAAGCATTTGGACATGCAGCTTGCCAGGATTGCGGCATCCCAACACTATAACTCAGATGTTTAAAGCCTTACCCTGAATTATATTAGCTGAACAGCACTATGAGTGTTCTCCACATCTTTCCAATTTCTGTCTAATGAAATGAGTTCATATCATCATTAAAACTGAAATTTTATAATCTCATGGTAAGAAAAAAATTGTACATGAAGTGATGCTTACTCCAGGCTAATACAGGTTTCCTGACACAAGTTTACAGAAAGCTTTGTGAGGTGAAAATTTATTGCAATATTTTTATTGCCAAAGCAGATCTAATGCCTGCAAAGATTTGTTGGCAAAATAATAAATGCTGGGCTTTTATTTATTTATTTTTTTTAGAGTTGTAAACCAGTTATTTTCAAATAATTTCACAGAGAGAAGAAAGTTGTATATACACCAATATTTGGGCATATAATCATAAATAAGAAAATAATTTGTTTGATTCATTGAAGTGAGTTATTATTTTGCCTCTATTTTATTTAATAACTATCTGGTGAGCCTTCTGAAAACAAAAATCAGTTTCTTTCAAAAGTGATAGATGCTTTGCAAGGCACATTTTGCAAGTGTGTAAGGTGTTTTAACAGCTTTATGATTTGGGTATTTTTTCAAGTATTTAAAATGTTTATGTTTTATCCTACAATTAAAAACAAATAAATAAAGGAGAAGCTGGCTAGTAGAGGTCATTAAGTCATATATTATGAAAAAACCCCAAACAAACTACATCTCAAGGAGCTAAACCTGATTTAAACATGCAATTTGTCACATGGCTATTTAAGAAATGGTGTTCAGCTCCTTTATTATTATACTAACAGTCTTTAGTTATGCAACAGAGCAAACATACAGCCATAAGGGGAAAGAAAAAAGATGTATGTAAATCAGTTTTATTTTCCTCCCAACAGACATCTTTAAAAGAGGAATTGAGTTTAAAAATAGTTCCCAAAATAAAGTCTCCTGTCATTTAAAGCTGCATCCTTTTCAGAAGTTGCCTTTTAAATATTTTTACAAGCACAATTGCTTGCACTAGTATTGGATACTTGCCATTGTCAATCTGATGTCCCTGTCAGTTGACACTGGTATGAAGTGCAAAATAACATTATTATCTGTCTCAAAAGACATATCCTTTTTAAAATGAAAGAATCAGTGGTGGCTTTTTCCTTTTTTCTTTTTTTTTTTTTTTTTCTTTTTTCACATTCTTATTTCTGTGAAGACAAAGGTCCAATTCAATAGACCACAGTACTTGTCATTCAAAGATTTTTCTCATGGCTAAGGGCTGGAGTTCAAACAAATATATGTATTTGTGGTCCACACCCAAGCAGCAGAATTTGGGCAGGACAAAGTAAATGTATGGGTCAGTATCAGTTCAGAAGAAGATTAGTTACCTCCAGGTACAGGTTAGAAATGATTCCTGATAAGAGCTGCACTGAGTGGAGAACTTTGGATTTGGTGACAGAAATTAAACCAATGCAATAGAAAAATCCCTTATATCTTGGAGCCTTCACTGTCTTCAGCTTCAGTATTTTAAGTGAAAGTCAGCTTTTTTCTAGTTTTTAATAAGCTCTTTCAAAAAACTAAGGTGGTCTGAGTTAATAATAAGAAGCCTCAGGAAAAAAAAATATAACATTATTTGCAGCTCAAATATTTGCATGGCAAGGCATTATAAAATATCAAAATATGTATTGCAAAACTTGCTGATTTCTTCTTGAGCATGTTTTGTCTCTAGATAGTACATGGGTACTATATGTAGCCCAGATGAATGCTGTAAGTATTTATTTTAGCATGTGTGATAAATAGCTGCATAAATCCCTATAATTGACCAGAATACAAGTTAAAGTGCCTGCAAACAGCTCTGTTATCTTACAAACTCTGAGAAAGTTCCCCTTTTTAATACATCTACTGTGCTGTAGTTTTTGGAGCCCAGAATAAACTTTTCCAGCTCTTTGACATGCCTGCCTTTCAGGGCATAGTGTTAGCCATTTGTGCATGAGGGAAGGAGGCTTCATTGAATACCAAAACTGAAGAATCATGATGGGGACAGAGGGAGAAGTCCACAGCCAATGGGATACCAGTGAGGAGTGGCGAGGGGAGGGGTACCCCAGGGGGTACCGGGGTAGGTACAAAGGTAGGTGAGGGATAGGTACCGGGGTAGGTGAGGGAAAGACCATGTGATGGGGGAAAGGGGAAACAAACCATGTGATATAACATAAGCTATACAGTGCAATATAAAACTATTCTGTGTAAATTCCCAATCACTCAGTGCAAGAGAACAACTAAAACTAGTGCACCACAACACAAAATCATGTAATTAATTCATTTTTAGTACAGTCTGAAATTTTTTCACTAAATTTCATAGAAACCCTACACAGCATAATTCCTTATTGAACTGAGCCCTAAATTTAAGTAGTGGTTTTTCAAACTATTTGAGAAATCATCTTTGTATATCTCTAGTCACTCTAAAACAGTGTAAGCAAGGATGACTCCACAGAGATTTCACATATTAGCAATAGGAATTTTATTTAAAGTGTGAGAAGTACTAAGCAATTTTCCTGGAGGCAAAAGCATATTAGTATACAAAATTAAATGTTTATATACGCAGGTGTTTTCTCTGTGGTCCTGCTGTGCCTTTAGAAATCCTTCAATTATATTAATTTCTACCAAAAGAATATGCTTGCTTCCTCATTACAAAGGAGTCCTTTTTCTTTCCCAACTCCCACTTTTTTTTTTCTTTTTTTTTTTTTTTTTTTTTTTTTTTTTTTTTTTTTTTTTTTTTTTTTTTCTGAGAGATCCAAAAATAAGATCCAAAAAGGATATCAGAGAATTCCAAGGACAAGATTTCTGTCATCACTATCAGTAATGGCTTCATCTGCAGGCATGCAAAATAGGTTCAAGGCCTTTAGAAAAGAAGTCTTTTGGTATGTTCCATGGACCTGGGTATCTTGGAGTTTCCATCCTTGGAGATACTCAAAAGCTATCTGGACACAGCCCCAGGCAACCATTCCCTAGTGGTCCTGCTAGAGCAGTGAGGGGTGTACCAGGTCACTTCCAGAGGTCCCTTCCAACCTCAACCGTCCTTTAAGCCTATGGGCTTATGAGCCTATCAGTAGCAGTTTAGTGTCCCAAGTTCCAGCATGTGAGATTGTCTACATTATGCAATGTATTTATTGAGAAGATGTTACAACATTTTTTGCTCAAAAGAAAATTTTCTGGTACAATGGCAAGTAGTACAAATTTGTTGTTCATCAGAACAAGCTTTAGTCTTAAAACTCTGCATTTTACTTACCTCTTCCAGTTCAGATTATGCAGAAGAAGAAGTGTATTTAACAGCCTTAGAGAAAATCCGATTGAAAAAACTTTCTTTTTGCTTTTACCCTGTACATATGTTAAAAAATGCAAATGACTTCAAGGCACAATGTTGCTGCTGAAAAAAACATGGAGACCAGGTATTAGCACAAGCAGAGGGTAATGCACCAAATCTCAGTTTATCCTTGCAGAATTCATGTCCTGCTGCTGTATGCATCCTGGCTTTCTACTTCTGCTGACCTATCCAAATTCCTTAAGAGCCTTTCTCTGTCAAGGCTAATTTTACCCCACTGCTCTCCCCATGAGTGGGGATGGAACAAAAGGTAGCAAAATTCTCTTTGCAGAACAAAGATGAGGTTTCATGAGGAAAAATTGCCTAATCTGAAAAGCTCTAAAGAAAATGCCACTGAGAAGGATGGCTTCCCATAGCCATTTGTGCTAATACCTTCCAAACGTGGAAGGACTTGCTTACAAGAGCCAGGTTGAGAGTGCATTTCCCTCACTCTTTGCAACTGGAGAGCAGAGGCTATTTTTGCCTGCTTATGCCATATCGAGAATATTCAAGGTGAAACTTGTTTCCTATGTCTGCTATGTATCATGTAATTTGCACTCAGTAAAAAAGACCTAACTGAGCTTGTAAAGTTGATTATTGTTTTATCACAGGGGTGCTGCATGCAACCTTCAGCCTTCAGATGTTGTCATACATTTCTACAGCTGCTATTACCAAACTACCAGTAATATGTTGCTGATCTCCTTTTTCTGTTCCCTTGCTGGGGCTAAATGGTAATACTTTAGCTGCCAAAGCAGCAATAAACAGAAACTGCAGGCAAAGAAAAAATATGAAAGATGGTGACTATTATAGCCACTATTTGCTCTAGGCCTCCACAGACATCCCACACTAAGATGCTGTTCCAAAGAACCTCAGCATCTCCACATCAGCCTGGTGAACTACAAAGCACTCAGTGGAAGAGAGAAAAAAATCACCTGTCACCATTTGCATGATTAGGCAATTAAAAGCTTCAGTATAGGCCCAAATAGGCTGCTTTTTGTTAGCTTATGTCTAGGTTGGAGGAGACTGAGAGCAAGAGGAAGACTGCCTATGCTGTACTCAGCATAGCAGAACTGTAGCACAAAAGTTCTGCTAGAAGAGCTGTGTCTGTTGGTCAGGCACTCCCCCTGATGGAAAATGTGGCTAGTAAGGAAGCAGCAAGGAGTCAAGCATGTGCACAACCCTTGCTTTCCCTTGTGTACCCTTGTCTCTGCTAGGCTGCCCATGCTGCCACTCAGACTTGATAATCCAAGAGGGAGTCTGAAAAGATGAGCAGAAATTTTTTCAAAATAAAACAGCCATGATCTGGAATTGACTAAATTGAAATTTATTCATTTAACTTTACCTTAACATCCAAGAGCACCCTTGCTCCCACATCTTTCTCAGGGGAT